CGGTGAACGTTCCCCTGCTCGGTGACCTCCGATTGTGATCGCTGAAAGCTGCCGACCCCGTGTGCCGAGGCATCAGCCCGCCGTGTTAATTGGAACGTGGCGAGCGCACATCGCGCGGCAAGTCTTCACATCGATCCGGGCAGCCTGGAAATGAGTTTACCTTAATTTCGGGAAGAAAGTGCCAACGGCTGTCAAAGAATTCCCCACGCAGCCAACGCGATCAATACTTTTTTTTTCGTTGCAACCAACAGGCTTGCTCACTGACACAACAACGTAGCTTTAAATTTTGATCATGAACTAGAAGAGGTTATGCTAGAATGTTACCAAGTTGATTGTTGGAACACGGAAGTATATCTCATGTATATTGTATTAGTAGAAGATGAATTTTGGAAGAAAATCAGACATGACCGTGGGCTTGTGCAAAACACGTGATCGCCACCGTCGGAACCGCGCCACCTAGCGTTCGGCACGAAATGGTCAATCTGTATTGTTCAGGTGAGACAGAACGAGACAGAGAAACTCACCTCATCCGCTTTCTTTTTCCCTGTTTCTTTAGCTTTTCTCCTTCTTCTTCTTGCTCTTCGTTGTTCTTGTTCTTCTACTTTATCTTATTTTGCCCCTTTGAAGTCGATCCTAGTTCACGCAACAACATGTTTAGGAAGACATCGTTGTTATTTTTTTCCAAGACAGAATCACAATACATGTATGACCCAATCTAGGTGCGACGACAGGGATCATTAGGCTCCTTACGCCTGCCAATTGTTTTTCGTTTTACAATTCTTTCTCATGTACATACAATCGTAGTCACCCCTGCACTAACTTGAATATGGAACGATTAATGGAAAATCTTTACCCATACGTATGTGCAATAAGTTACAATGCTGAGACTTACTATCGCTTGAGTACATGTGCATTGGGTAGGTGTTTGCAGAGTTGAAGCAATGAGCTTATAGAATCTATTCAACTTCCTCGGCGAGGAAAGAAATTCTCCAGGAGTCTTCCGTGTAAAGCGCTGTTCACAGCGTGCTGATAAGAATGATCACCTGGAAATACCAGGCAACCCAGAAGGTCAGCGGTAAGAAACAGCCCTGTCCCTAGAGGGCGCGGCTGATTTATAAGGATTGGGCCCTTCCCGGGTCCGGTGAACCGTTAAACGAAACCTCTGAGCGTCAACGCGGCGACAGGATAGGCATCAGTCGGAGGTTATTCGGTCACCCATCCTCATTTACTGACATCCCGGAAGAGAGGAGCGCTGCACGGGCGGTACCAAGGTGTGCGGGGAGATAAGGTCTGCTCTCGCCCTGCGGGAAGGACAGAGAATGGCGGCGGTAATCCATTCTCAACGACTCCGTTCCCCTTTGGGGTTAAATCCGATATCTCTGAACTTTGAAATTTCCTTCTGCCTCCTTTAAGAAATGAATATCTAAGATTAAACCCTATCTATGGTGATGCGTTAAACCGTAAAGAAAACCACAGTTAGGCAAAGTTAGGGAATATGACGCAATTCAGTTTCAATACTAGAACCATAAAACGGAAGCTATACAGAACTATAAAGTGCATAAAATAATGAATGAATGAATGAATGAATGGATGAACGAACGAATGAATGAATGAATGAATGAATTCATTAATTAATGAAGACCTTTATTATACATTTTTGCCCCACTGGGCTAAGCACAGGTCACATTATAAATATAAATATACAAATACATAACGTATACATATACATGTAACTATTACATGTATATATAAACGTCTAATGTATTCTAGTCTTTTCAACTTCCTCTCGCTTCTTAGTGATTGTATATACATGTAATAATAATTAGGAAGACTGTGAGATACGTTAATTTGTATCTTAGTTTCTTCCTTTGTGTTAGTGCCAGCTGTTGGGTTTTGTTGTAGCTTCACTTATCACATGCTTTATCAGGCTTGAGTTAACTCATTGATTACGTTTATTTTGATCTCCTCTGTGTACATTGGCTGCTTGACCTGTTCCGTTTTTCGTTTATATTTAGAGGCTTTACTTTATATGATCAGGTTATCGTATTTTACAATATTCATTGTCACTTCCTGGTAGTGGGTGTTGATATAAGAATTTTCCTGCGTTTGAAACCACACGATACACAATCGTACTCGTAGAGTTCTGTCCGTCTATCTCTCTCCAGTACGGCGCGAATGTCTCAACGCCATTTGTCTTCCGTGTGGTTGAATACAAAAGGTGAGAGTCCATCTCAACAGTTCCACCCCCTTCTTACTCTCCAAGTTGAGGGTTTTGGCTTATTTTTGGTGTGATTTTAGGCTTTTTTTACCGGGCTTTCTTTTTTTGCACTGGTATCATTTTTTAAGCCAACCCTACCAATGCAAAAAGATAAAAGAAAGCCCGATAAAAAAGCCTAGAAACACGCCAAAACTATATATATAAGCCAAAACCCAAACCTCTGCTTAAAAGAGTACTAGTATGTACGTACCCCCTTCTGCTCTCTAGCCCCGGAGACAATGCCTGGCTATTGTAGCTCAGGCGCCGCCCTCACGTGAAGCGCTCCGGTCAGGTGAAAGGGGGAAGCCAGCGGGCCGGGGAATAAATGCTAGGTCCGAAACTTTTCATTGTGTTGGGTTATTTCCTTGGGAGAAGCTTTGATAGTCTCAAAGCAGAGGTGTGGTCTTTGGCTTATTTTTAGGCTTTTGGAGTTGCACGATAAAAAAGCCTATCACGCCAAAGCCCAAACCTCTGCTCAGTGGAAAGTAGGAGAAGCTGCTAAAGCTTTCGAAAAGTGGGAAAAAAATAAAAAGTGCAAGAATCAAAATGTTGATCGTGAGAAACGTGAAAATAAGGCAAAAGCAGGCAAACAAATTTTGAAATAAAACTTAGAACTAAGGGATACAAGCACCATGTCGTTCTAGATGATTTGGTATGCAGTACGAGAAAAGAAAGTGACTGCTAATGTGTATTTAGATATTTGTTTCAGATCTTATCATTGTGGAAGTGGTTACAAACAAAGACAAAATGTTCTTTTGTGTCACCTAAAGTGCTCAAGTCATGCCGATGAGAAAGTTCAGACATGACGTCATGAAATTGAACTTCCGTGACCCAGTTTCTGAATACTTCTCGTCGTGCGTGGCTTTCCTCTGGCCACACGCCGGGTTTTAAAGAACAGATCCCGGGTCTGTCGATAAACTGTTTCCTTCCCTTTTATTTCACTTCCTCAAGTTGTCAGAAACTTTTTTGTTTTCGCCCACGGAACAGGAACTACTGTAGGGGGAAATGTCGAAAGAAGAAGGATCAAGTTCCAACATCTGACCTCGCTTCAGACAATAACAAGGGCGTCGCCAAGTAAATCAAGCACTGTTGGGAAGGAATAAAAGTAAAATAAATCACAGAAGTGGATCCGTTTGTTTTATGTCTGGCGACGGGCAGGTTTTCAGACACATGAGAAGTTCTCTCGGGACACGGTCGTTCGACTGCAATAAGACAAAGTGCGATATTACATTACGGGTAAACACGAGAGTAAACACAAACACGTTTCAAGTTAAGCTTCCCTCTGATTACAAGTGGGGTCACAGTAAGTTCGAACTGTGTTTGTTTTTAGTCTGGAAGGGCATCAGTGCTAAGTGTATATTCTGTTCATTTTTCTCGAACTCAAAGGTGACTCACTGGCATAACAATGCGTTAAACAGACAAACAAAAATGACAACTTGTGAAGAAAAACATCATGTGATTTGTTGTCACATGGCTTGGTTAATTCCTTAGACCAATATTGTCTGTAGAGTGTTTCATGCGGACCTTTTTGCATTCATTAATTTTAACTTAAAGTTCTAGAGCATGTTTTCTTTCCAACGTCTAGACTGAGAGCATGTTTTCTTTCCAACGAACGCTGTTTATGCCACGTTTCCCTTATAAATCATTATCTTGTTTTTGCGCCCTCGTTAATTTGAGGTTGCCACGTCCCCCACCCCATCTCCCGTTTCTCGCCAAGCAAACTGTATAACAAAGTACACACAAACAAAGAGAAGACAAACAAAAGTTTCGCGGGCTTCTCAATGAAAAGTTGTACCGCGCAGGCGCAGTACGGGTCAATAGGGGTCAACCGGAGTCAATCAAAAAGTTTTTGTTCACATGATTCTTCCGGAACTGCGGCGTGCACAAGTTTCCAGAACTTCGCCAACAGTCAATGTTACGTCTTCTCAAGCCCGATCAGCACCACATGAAGGTATGGACGGCCCGTCGATGGTCCCAGAATCGTCTCTGTTTGTCGCCTTTCTGTCGTTTTCTCGCTATTTTTGTAGCAAGCTTGTTGCAAGTTTCTTTGTCTGTGGTTTCAAGAGGGGCGACCATTATGTCCCGAAGTATAGGCGGGAAACTCTAGCCCCACTTTCCCCACAAAGAACAAGTTACCCATCGGCGACTAAGTTACATCTAAAGTCCCCAAACTTGCGTGTAAACTGTTTTTGTATCCCCAAGTGTCCGTATTTGGCCGAGGAAGAGGGGGATGAGGAAGAATTCGCGAGAAATGTAGGGTATTCCGGACGACAGCTGGCGAGCTGGGCAGCCCCTCCATAATAGCTTGAGTACACGGTGTGGCCGGGGCCTGGCCTGGACTCATTCAACCGTCACCAAAAACTTCTCTCAAGTGTTTTCGAGCTCTCCCCAACACGGACTCTACCAAAAGAAGTACTCAATCGCCGTCAGAAAAGCACCGTAAGAGTTGGAAGTGTTCCTAGAAGTCTGGACGAACTTCTGTGAAAAGTTCACGAACTGTTTTGTGGGTGTATTTTTGTAACGAAGGGTGTTGGCTAAGGTTGGGTGGTCCGGTCCGAATGGGATCGACTCTTTGCATAATAAACCCTTTTGGGCACTTTCGTCCCAGGACGGTACAAAGGATTCTTTAGTAAGTTTTGAGTAACAGAGCCAGGAGCCTTCTGTTACCAGCGAGAAAAAAGTTTTGGGACGAGTTTTTCCAGTGGGGCACGGGTAGAAGAAAGTTCACACCTCGTTGTTACCTCATCCCTTCTCGCCGTAAATTAATGGCCGGGACGCCGATAACTCGCGAAGTGGGGATGAATCACTCGCCAAACTTGTCTACTGCGTAGCGTTTGGAGGGCGTGTTAGTGCCCTGTCGCACGAAAATCGTCCTCAAAGTTATCAGAACTTCACGGGTACAAAAGACGTTACCGTTTGCTAAACTTCCCACACCCCAGGTCACGCGAGTAGGCCCGACACACGCCGGAACTAGCTCCGCCCAAAGTTTTTGGTTCTCACCAGTTTTTGTGGAACAATCAACAGAAACTGCGTCTTTGTTCCTTTATTGTTTTCAGAGTACAATGATTAATTAGCGAAAAGGCTCTGCCCTCCCCCCTTTGGAAAGTTGGACAAGTCACTGTGCGTGTGTAATCGGTAGTGGGGCCGGATTTGGTGCCGCAAGCCAAACCTCTGGTGAGGTCATCCTGTGAAATCTTATACGTGGCACATGTTTACTTGTTGTTCTGCCTTGGATTCGTTCGTGTTTCTTCTTAACTCGGAAAATACCTCTGAATTGTGAAGTTCACAGCCACGTTTGACGAAAAATATTTGTTGTTGCCGCTGCTGATACTTGAGACGACGTACTGTACTTTGTGAGAAATTTTCCTAAAGTTTTATTATTGTTTTGTCTGGCTTCTCTGTCAGAACGCTTGGCCCAGTTTCTCGGACAGCGCCACAGTCAGACTCAAACTTCAAAGACTTTTCTTTGTTGAAGGATTCCTCTCAATCAATGGCTTACTTATTTGCTGTTGCTGAATATTTACTTTTCAGTTTCCATGGTTTCTTCATTTGTAACACTTACTGTCCTTTTCTTGATTAACTTCTAAACTTTCGAGTTACCTCTGCTAGCTCCCAACAGAAAGTTTTTAATTCTTTGTAAACCTTTTATCAGTTTCTTGAATTCATGTCGACACAGTTGTGAACTTCCCCTTGAGTCATTGAGATTAGTGACAAACAAAACACAATGCAGTTTTGTTTGTAGCAGCAAGTCTGAACAGAGTCTACCAAGTTCTGACATGTTCCTTGTCTCAACTTCTCAACTATTTCTGTGGGAGGAGCAGAGATCTCAATTTCAACTCCCAGATGCTTTTCAAGCAGTTGATTTACCATTCATTCCCATGATTCTTCATTTGTGCACAAATTGATGACTTGAGTCTTTGTCTTTCCCTTCTGCATTTCTAGCCGACCTTTCCCAAATAGGAGAGCAGGGGGTCACCCTAGCACTTCCCCTAAATGCTTGACATTCAGTCTCGTGTTTACTCTATTTTTAGTCATGAGGGCTGGCTCTATCCAGAGGCCTACCACACGTAGTCGGGCAAACTCCAGAAAACTTCAGTCTCCGCTGAAGGCAACAAGTCCGCAGCGACCAACAACGAAACTGACCAACGGAGGTACCAGTTGCGGAGAGTGGGAGATAAAGACAAAAGACGTTTGTTTGAATCTTTGTTTCTAGAGGCTATTAGAGTACTTTGGAAGTGTGCCTACAACTAGAGATTAGGTCACCCTGCAAGAATGCCAAACTTTTAAAACACTCTCTCTGCTCCCAAGTAACTTTGCCAGATAACTAACACAGTAGAGATCAACACAAATAACCCTTATTAAAATCACTAATACACGCTTTCACACCTAATGTTTTGTACTAATAAAGTTTTACTAAACTTTAAAAAGATACTTGTTAGTTGTTTCACAGACTTAATAAATGTTGCAGAAGACTTGGATTATTTGTCTACCACTTCAGTCTCCAATCTCATGCGAGTTGACCCACCCTGCATTACAAACATGGAGGTCGGTCACACTCGGTGACGCAGTTTGCAGAAGTCTGTCTTGTTTCTCCGAAGCACCCACACCCCACATTCTTGTTGGGTTTTGTTTGTAAAAACAATGGAAAGTTTTAATGTGATTCCTGAAGGCATGTCGGTGTTATCTGTGACATGTCAGAGTGAGGGAGGATATCTGCCTCACACACAGCTATGTAGGGCTGATAACAACTTTTTGGGGGGGACCAAATAAAGTGACAACAGTGTTTGTTTTATGTGGACTTGCCACATTCTTGCCACAACTGTCTGTACAACATGCACTGTACCCAGAAAGGGGACAACCTGGCAATGTTGGAGGCAACTTGCAAAAAGTAAAGTACTAACAACTTTCTAACCTCCTGATGTTGGTTGTTATGGTTTGTGTGCAACTGTTGCCTGCTGCATCTCATGAACATCCGTCAATATGTGTTGTTTACACTCTGAAATGGGTACGGGACAAAGAGGTAACAACAACCTTGTAAGAAAGGTCACACTTAAAAATGGCGAATGAGATCATCCAGTGATATTTATCTGTATCTTTGTTGAATACGTGATGCGTGTATTTTCACTGCGCTACAAGAGAAAACTTTGTTTCCATGTTTGGAGGGCGACAGTTAACTTTGGACTCGGGCCCGAAGTTGACTCAAGTTTCCCTGAATGTAAGGCATTCTTGCAAAGCATCATGGGAAGGGGGGACTTAGAGTACAATCAAAATATTGCCATCTGTTACATGTATTTTTTCAAAACAAAGGATCTCTGCACAACCTCCTCAGCTCTGCACACAAGGTAGAAATGTGTGTTCACACAGACAGCGTTTTGGACTGTCTGATAGGTTACAACAGGCACTGGGGAAAAATTTAAGGTATCTGAAGGGTCATGGTAGAGTTCCAACTTAAATGTCCCTGGGTGACCAAGCGACGTGGGTTCAAAAGTTTAACTTCCCCTATCCTTACAACACCTCAAATATTTGACAACTTTGACAGATAATTTACTATGATCTCAGAGTTGTGTTCATTTCTTGGTTTTAGTTATTGCCACAAAATGCTATAGTTTATTCAAACAGAAATTATGTCAAAACTTGGTTAAACTTTTATCAACGACGAGTGACAAAACATGAAAGTTTGTTTCTTTCCCTGTTTATCGGTGAGTTTCATGTTCTCTAGGACTTCTGTTTGAGTTCAGAATTGGCCGCCATGGTCACAAATTACTCGGCGAGGCGGAGCGCCTAGGCGACAAAGAATTGTCCCCTTCACGTGTTTGTCATGCATTAATAGTAAGTATGCAGAATAAAGGAAAAGTTTTGGTAATGGGGATCTGTTTGAACTGGGCGGAACGATTAGGAAGTGTGTGGACTTTGTTTGTGCTGGTAAGTTTTCCACCGCAACATATGTTTCCATTTTTAGAGGGGAAAGTGTTGCAAACTTTCTTGCTTGAACTCGGGAAGGGGCAGTACAGTTTGCAGTGGTGAGTTACAGCATGTGCTGTGCATTTAAGTATCAAGTAAAAGCTGAAAAATTGTAGGCAGTGTAGTATATTGAGCACTGGTTGAATGTTGTTGTTTTTGAAACTGTTTTTCTCACAATGTAAACTTTGAATCGGCTGAAATAATGTTCTTCGTTGTATTATAACATGTAATTTCACTATGCTGTAGAAGTTAAGAAATGGAGCAGTGGCTTGTAATTCACAACAAAGTTGTCCAAGTTTCTTTGTTTTTGGTCACTGCTTTCACCATAAATATTAGGCATTTTTAAAGCACTTACACTAAAAGCCCAACAACTATATGGACTAAGCTCAAACAAATGGCAGTTTCAAACAAATTGCTCACTCTCCCACAAGATAATTTGCGTAGTTTGACCTGGAATTTTTGAAGCTTCTGTCTCAGTTTGCCCCGGGAGCAAAAGTGTTTTCAAAGGACATTTTTGTTCTTGTCCTGTGGAGTATACTTTTGTAGCTGGACTGTCTCATTGTTGTGGCGACTGCAGCAAACAAAGGGTCGGCCATGTGATCAAGGATGGATAGTCTTGTGCCTGTATGTTGCCTGTCTTCCTTCATGCTTCACAAAGAGAATTCCTTGGAATGCTGGACATAAAATAGTATGCATGCAGTGATAAGTCAATAGTGTGTGAAGCAAATTTAGCTGACTTGTTTCCCACGAGTACAGTATAGGCTGTACCTATTGTCCCTTTTGTTTGTGAGCTAACAGTCTAAAGTTTGTTGGCCTTATCTGAATTTTGATAAAACAGAGATTTCTGATAAATCTAGCAAAGTAATGAAATCTCAAATGCATTAGTCAATGATACATTGTTCTTTTGTTTGTGATCAACTGTAAATTGTTTCAGACTTTATTGAAAGAAGTGAATATTGTTGTATACATATCTTGTATACACAGCAGGGCAGATAGCACTGTGTATCAAAGAAAAGTTTTATGAACTACTTAAAGATCCTAGTTAGTTGATGTTCATTGGGGAAGGTAACTACTGACTGCCACACAATTTCAAGCATGTTTGTTATGACACTTTTGTTTTGAATTATCTCTTCTTACAAAGATGTATATAATTCAGGAAATTGTAAAATTTGAAAGCGAATGAATACAAAGTGACAGTATATATGTTTAGTTCATACTGATTTCCAAGTTGCCAAAGAAATTTGGCAGTGAGTTTTAGAAAGGCCTTTGTGTCTACCTGTGCCATATGGTTCTGAAACCATGCTTGAACAAAGGAACAATTTTAGACACACCTGTTGTGGACTGTACCAAATCTTCAAAGGGAGGGACAATGTAGTTGTGGACTTTGGAGAGTCTTATTTTACTTGAAAATTTAATAACGAATTGTTATTTCACTTTGAAATGCTATATGATAGATTGCAGAACTTGGTGGCTTGTAAGCCTGTTCATTGTACAACTTGGTTCTTGTGAAAGAAGCCCAGTGTTTGTCACGACTTACAAACTTCCGCTGAAGTTTCACTGTATTTGCCAGGGGGTGGCCTGTTTAAATATTTATAAGACAATTTAGTTGATTGTTGAAAATGTTGACGTCACACTCATTGTGTACATTTTAGCCTCCATAGTAACTGGTGGTAATGTGGAGAAGTTGTGTATAGTACAACTTTATGAGTGACAGGTATAGTTTTATTGTGGTGACAGGTTGTCAAGTTTTGTATCAGTATATACTTGTATCTCATCCTCAAATTCTACCTATTGAAGCAACTTGTGTAATACTGTATGCTTTTTGGCAATTAGTCATATCATATGTTTTGGTCTTCAACCTTTATAAATTATTCAGCCATAAAGCTGCCTATGTCGGTGTGTCTGATACAAACAAAGGAATTAAAACATGCTTTAAAAAGAGCTGGTTGCTTAGGAACATTTTAAACAGCGGAACATATGTTGATGCTTACTATAACATATAAAGAAACAGAAATTGAATACTTCTGTTGATGTTGGAGTATAAAAGTTTTCTGTCTGAATTATGTGTTCCGTGTTACTTCCCACAAAGGTGTGGCGTAAGGAGAGGACATGTCATGCGCCATTGTGAGTCGTTTACAAAAGGTCCTGTATCCTCTTTTTGTGTGGGACTATTAATAATTTAGAAGTTGGGAGGTCAGAAAAGTTTTGAATGCAGTTTTGCCGTCGCGGGGTGCGGGTACCGTCGGCCGTTTTCTTTGTGTGAGACGACTCTAAAGGCAAGTTGATGTATTTCACTCAGGGATCGCTTCAGGAGTTTTGAAGGTAATCTTCTGATCTTTAAACAAGCGTTAACGAGATACTTGTTTGAAATAACTGTAGGGCATAGTGTTGCCCCGTGACCTTTAATGTGCATGTATACATAGCTTGGTTCTTTGTTCGTGTCATAACTATTTTTGTCATTGTTTGCCCAATTCCAAACTAGAAATGGTCCAAATGATTACAGATTTCCTGTTTTTTCATGACACCAACTTACTATAAACTGCCTGCTTGGGTGTTAAATGCTTTATGGACTCTAAATGAAGTTTGTTGTGTCGGCATTGTCCTGAGAATGGAATGATAACAACAGTGGGGGTAATGAGGTGTTAATGTTGTTGATGTATGCATTGAACAGGGGCCAGGGTGGCTGAAATACAAAAATGGCAATAAGGGTGAATTTTAGCAATACTGTAACCATTCAGATGTTTCACATAGTTGTAGAACATTCCAATGTTTTGCTTACAGATGTTTCCTAGTTTTGTGTGTAGTTCTGTTTGTTTTTCTGTCAAGTCCTTTTGTTCCCAGTCGAACAAAAACTTTGGTAGAACACCTCACATTCACAAAGGTGGTTGTACACAATAATTTCTTTTCATATTAATTTGGCATATTTCGCATTCCAACTATGTTTTTGTAAACTCCAGGACATGCAAAGAGTTTTGAATGAACTATGTTAAAAGAAAGGGTTATAACTTGAATTTATTTTAAGGTAAGTGTCTTTATCAGGTCTCTTAGTTACCTTATCTTTTGCCGGACCATTTTGGTCTATCTACTATCTCTGGATTACTGTCCTGTACTTACTCTTAAGCCTCTGCACAAGCAAAGTAACTGCTACGACCAGGCACAGTAACCATCATGGGCACTATTCTGGAAAAATGTGAAATTGGAATATAATTTTGAAACATAAACGTGGGA